AATTGCTAATTGTCATGCTCTGATGCTGCGGCAACATTCTTGCTTTTACAGCTTGACAGTATTTCTCAAGTGCCCCTGTGCAGCACAAACAAAGCCCCGCTGGCTGCTGAGCGTGGTGACACGGTGGCGTTAACAAAAACAGGGGGGGGACTTGTGATCAAGTGTTGTTTATTTCTGTGTTTTTCTCATCTTAAAACACAGGTTGGAGTTCAGTATCACAACTGTCAAATACAAAGCACCGGCTTGGTTTCCAGGTCAACCTCATCCTCATAAAACAGTCTGTATGATATCTTTTTTTAAATGATTCTCATTTTCCCTGCGCTCACCTACAAAATGTCCAGCAACACAAGCGATCAGTGCGCCTGCGCAGGCCCCTTCGGGTGCAGAACCTGTTGTTTAGGCAACAAGACAACTTGGTTAGGTTTAGGAAATGATCATGATTCGGGGTTTTTTTTGTAACTTAAGCCGTCAGTTAAATACGTAACAAAAATAAGATAAAAAAGGTCAACGTTGACTTTTGTTTTTCACACCGGGCACGAACAGTGGCCTCCTGGGTGATGGTTCTGTTTGTTTGAAGGTGGGACAAACACAGCAATCTAAAACACGACCCGGTGCTTTAGGAAATGGTCAGCACTAACATATATTTGCAGTTAATGGGCTGAAATATGCAAAAAAAACACCAGTACGATTTAAGTTGAAGCTCTTCCGTATAGAGTAAAGCCACAGCAGAGCTGTGGGAGTGTAAAATAAATGCAGCAGTAGAGGAGAGCCTGATGCAACACTCTGCTTTTATTTCATATAAGTGCCGAGTAGAGGTTTGCCATATACTCTGTGTTACCTACATTGTTAAATATTAATAAGGCACAATAAAAAATTCACCACCACTTACAGTGAATATTGTGTTTACAGTAATCACTACATGTCTGTTTCTCTTTTTTGTCTCGCCAGTTGGCACCAATAAGATTGTGGATGCCTTTTTCAAAGGGACGCCTATATCCCTAGAAAGCATCATCAGGATGATTGTAGACGACATAGTGCAATTAAAATCACAAATAGGGCGCAAACGTAGCTCCATAAGCACCAAACTGTCAATAACCCAATAGCAGAGCAGCAGGATCAGTGCCCAAGCCTTAACAGATCATAGCCAACGTCTTATTGAATCTGCATTAAAAACAATCTCACTCATAATCACTTTAAATTACATGAAAAAAAGAAAGAAAATGAAACATTAAATTCATTTGTTATGAATTCCGTGCCAAAGGATTTGCAGCGGCGTACGTGATGCGACGGCTCTCCTGCTCCATTTCGCTGATTGACAGAAACATCTCTAAGGCGAGAGAACAGATGTCTCAAGTTATTTGACCGGGGCTCTCTATGCTGTTCTATTCCCACTCCCCCCCCCCCCCCCCCTTCTTTTTTTGCAGCCAACGACAAATCTCTTTGCAGTGACAAGGCATCGCCTGTCGAGAGGATGATTCCATTGAGAGGCACTTCCTGATATGAGAGGTGCATTAATGTGATTAACCCACGCACACTATTGCTGTTTGATACGGGGGCTTAGGGGCTCATGTCACTCTGTATTCTTCTCTACTGGCATGATCCGCAGGTAATAGAAAGTACGATGATGTGTGGGCAGGAGAAGGCAACTCAAAATATAATCTAGAGTGGGAAAGTGTTGCACTGGGCACTTCTAGGGCCGGGCGATCAGGCCAAAATCTCAAAACGATATTCCCCGCAAATATTTCGCATCAGATTTCATGAGTGAAATTTGAGTGAGCGTTATCATTTAAAAACGGCCCAAATTATGTATCATGATATCTCGGTATATGTTTTTATCGTGGATCAACATATTGAATTATTGCCCAGCCCGAATACAAACTCAGTTAGGAAATTTAACTATAAAAGTTCAAAAAAGGTAAGAACAAAACCTGCCTCTGAAAATTACAGAAAAAAGATGAGTTATGCCGGTCTGCAGACTTGATATCTCCTCGTCAGACAACTTTCAACTATTAAAATCAATAAAGATAAAATCATCTTTCATAAGAGAAATGCTATTATCCCAACACCCCGAAGGTGTTTGAATATTTCAATTAATTACCTGCGATCCGGTGACCTCAGTTATATTTCACGACCATATTAAATATCATGAAACCAATTCCAACTGTCTGACGGAGACAAAACAGGCTGTAAAAGCAGGGCTTGTACACATTCACCCATTCATGTCGAAAAGGCAAATGACAGCTCGCTTCACTGGCTCCACTGTGTGCCGCACTGAGAAATGATTCACTTGATGCGAGAGTCGTCATCCATTCAGCTGCACACAAAACGGCTACAGGTTGTATGTATGTTTTGAGTCCACAGGGACCGAAGCTGCAAACATATATAGGAGGCACAGGAGAAAACTGAGCGGCAGGGAAAGGGATTCTGGGACGCCATTCATGAACCTTTTCATCAGGCATCTTTAGCTGGGGGTATAGCAGCAGAAATAGATCCCTCCACCGAGCACAGAGCCACGCAGCTTTTAATAGAGGCATCTTCTCGGCTTAATCAAAGATACCAGGAAAAATGGGCACATTCACCTCACCAAGTATTGTGAAGTCTTGGCGTGGGCTCGGAGCGAACTTCTTCATTTCAAACTGTAAAAAGGTATGTAACCTATGAGGATGAATGCATGCGAGAGAATCCTCTTGGCAGCCCAGAGGGAATGTACGATGCACCAGAAGCAGCAGAAAAGTAAGTGAAGTGCTGTGTGCGACTCTTTCAGCTCACACTCCTTTCGATCAATGGCTGAGATAGATAATAGCCTCCGTAGAGACTTGCATCTTACATCCTGTCTCTCTCTATCCACGCCTCAAATCCCCCATTTCTGCTTTTTGCATCTCTGCACACTCTCCATCTCTTCCCTCCTCGCTCCTCCCAGCAGCAGCAGGAGGAGCAACGTGGGAAGCCCACCAGCTCCAGTGTGGGCAAGGTGGGCAGAGCACAAGAGGATCCTGGGAAGAGCACTGGGCATGGGCATGGGGAGGGGGGGGGGGGGGGGGGGGGGGGGTTATCTGGCAGACCCAGAGAGACTGTCCGTGGCTGTCGGGCCACCGACATGTCACCGACATGCCAACGACATGCCACCGACATGTCACCGACATGCCACCGACATGCCACCGACATGTCACCGACATGTCACCGACATGTCACCGTAGATTCCCGGGCCTCCTGCTAACAGCTGATCCTCGAGGCCCACCGCCTCCATCAACGTGGAGAAAATCCACTCGGTAACTCAATTATGCAAGAGGTGTGAATTAAACATGAGGCTACCACACTGGAATGTATTCACACACACACACACACACACACACACACACACACACACACTCTATGTAATCATACAATGTAACAACCTCATCTGTATGCGGACGCCAGGGGGGATTTGTGAGGCAAGCAGAGCACACGAAGAGCTGATCCACGCTGGTTGTAACATCACACACGACTGAAACAGAATATGGACGTCGAGGCCAGACAGGTGAGTGACAGCGAAGGAACAGGTAATGAGAAATGTTGCCATCTTTGCCACCCATTACTTCCCTAGGAGCTTTAAAGGGAGCAAAAAAAAAAAGAAAAAAAAAAGCAAGCCTCGTGTGGGAGTTAAGCCTGGAGCCAAAGGCAGAGCCGATTTTCTCCCCATCTCTCTTTATGCCTCTCTATCCCTCTGTTTCTTTGTGTGTGTGTGTGTGTGTGTGTCTCTCTCTCTTTCCTCCATGCCCTTTATTAATCATCCTTGGTTAGTGGGGCAGAGAGCGTGGTGTTAGGAGCTCTGGGGAGTGTAGAGCCAAGAAACACACACACACACACACACACACACACACACTCTCATAAATCTCGGCAAATATTTTGCCTTTCATCTCTTGTTTGCTTACAAAAGATATCAAAATCAATAACATTTGTACAAAAAGAGAAAGAAAATGCAGGGTTGTATGCGTATGACTACACACACACACACACACACACACACACACACACACACACACACACA